GTACGTACGTACGTACGTACCTACGTACGTAGTACGAGAGAGAGAGAGAGAGAGAGAGAGAGAGAGAGAGGGGTTTGGGAGGTTGATCGGGGGAGAGAGAAAAGGAATCTTGTCAAGAGAGAGAGGGGTTTAAAAAGCAATATCTTTTTTAAATTTGTTTAGGTCAAAAAAATTAATAAAGAATGAATAAAATATGTTTAGGGGGTTAGGAGATATAAAAGAGTGAACTTCTATGTAGTAAGATAAGTTTTACAACTTTAGGTCAATGGAGAAATGAATGTTGAAAATGGGGTCTATGGAGATATTTTCCCTTGTTAATAAATGTTTTTATTTCTATTAAAAATTTATAGTTTACGCTTGATGAATTATATAAAATACCCCTAAACAAAAAGTTATTATACTATAGGATTAGGGTATCTAAATGTCTAAAAATGTTAAACACTTCAAGGGTCTACACCACAAGTAGTGTAGCCTAACAAAACCCTTAAAATATTGAAGATTGGTTCTTTATTAGTTTGTACCTCATGCAAGACAAACTTTTTTAGAGCCAGTGCACCAAAAACATGAACAACCTCAAAAAATAACACGAGGAAGATGCTTAAAACAGCCAACTTGCTATTTGTTTTTAATCTTTTCTCCAAATCCAAATGAACAAATTTACATATAATAAAGTATACAAAAGACCATTTACTTTTACTACAAGGAGGTCACAACCACTCTTGTTTATTGGATTACAAATCAAGTGATTGTGAGTGTGTTATTGATTCGATTCGAAGTTCAAAAAAAAATTTGTCAAACTTCGTGACACAACTAAAAATATTTTATGACCTCCTTATAACAAAGATAAATGGTCTCCTAGTATACAATCTTTTTACATATTTAGTTAATCTTTTGCTCTAATTGGCATTCTTTTTCCACCTTTGAATGCTCCTTCTAGTCCTTTACTTTATATGTCAAACAAAATTTTGATTATAAAATTGAAATGCATAGATTTATTCATCTCCACATGGTCTTTATTGATCTAAAAAGCTTATGATTTACTTTAAAATTTGATTTGATGAGTGTTGAACAAGAATGGAGTCTCCAAAAACTACATCGACTAGTTAATATATGTACGAGAGAGCACAAACTAGTGTACAAACAACTAGTGGAGAGGCAAGTGAGCTTTCAATAACAACATGTCTACATCAAGAGTCAGTATTGAACCCATACCTCTTCATCTTAGTTGTGGACGATTTAACTAGAGACTTATACGATGACGTACCATGATGCATGTTGTTCGCGGATGCAATTTTGATCGATGAGACCCAAACGGGGTCAACACAAAGTTAGAACTTTGGAGATATGCTCTAGAATCTAAATGTTTTAAAATTAACAGGACAAAGACAAAGTACATAGAATGCAAGTTTTGTAATAATAGAAGTAAAGACGAAGAACTAGTTGAGATTGACAGCCAAAAATACCAAAAAGAACGTACTATCAACATCTTGGGTGGACAATCCAGAAAAAATAAAGAGAATGAGGAGAATATCGTACATAAAATTAGAATTGAGTAAGAAAAATACAGATGTGCAATCAAAGTTTTATGTCTTCATCACATACTAATGAAATTGAGGGACAAATTCTATAGGCAATCGTGAAACCAACTTTACTTCATGGAGTGAAATATTGGACGGTCAAAAAACATACCCATAAAATGAGTGTAGCTGAGACAAAGATGTTTAGATGTATGAGGACAAGACAAGGACTGAAAGAATTCAAAATGAATACATTTGAGAAAATTTAAGGTTGGCATCAATAAGCAATAAGATGTGATAATGTAGATATAGGTAAGCTGACCATATGTAGTACAAACCCAATACAATAATTGTTCGGAGGTGTGAGTTAGTTCAAATAGAAGGCTAAAAAATGATAAGGAGTAGATTAAAAAAGACATGGTTGCAAATAGTGAAAAAAGATACCAAACTTATGACTTTCTTGAGAGTATGGCCTTTTAATAAAGCAGAATGATAGATTAAGATTCATACAGTCAACCCCAATTAGTTGGAAAAAAGGGTTAATGATGATGATGACGAATGCATGGATTTATTACAAATGAATAGCATTTGTATGCAGGTCATTTGATCCATCTATTTTCATGCTACTCTACTTACTTTCTCATTATCACAAATTCGGTTTTCTAAAAACAAACATGCACATGCATGAGAAGGAGAGCAGAAAAAACTGGGCTATTGGCACCATGGTCGGGGTAGGCGGAGCTACAACATGATGTCAAGAGCACCCGTTCCAAGTTGTGTATGAAGAGAGAGAGAGCGAGAGAGAGAGAGAGCACAAAATTGCCTTGCAACAGCAATGTTCATCCCCTCTTTGAGAACATGGAGGACAGGAGGAGCATAAGTAAAACCACATAGATGACAAAATGCGCGTTAATTTTTTCTTTTTTGAATATACTATTGTAATCACATTGAGGAGACTAGATAGACATTTTTGCAGGGAAAGAAAGAAACCCTTTTTAGGTGAAGAGCAAAACTCAATGAAGCTTCGATAGTGGCTAACCCCCAGATAAGCTGGTGCAATAATTCTTCAACCACATGGATGCTGATCGAAGAACTCGCAGCTCTCCTGAAAGAAGATCAATTGCCATCTTTCTCCGCATTTCAAGTTGGCTGTTCTCAGTACACGTATTCTTCAACTGCATGGACTGCAAAGCACACAAATCAAAACAGAACCATTCAACACATAAATGGATATTTCTTCCAAATGACTGCCCCAACCACACAGACCATACCAAAGAAAATTTTGATTGCCAAAATACCACCACCTTTGCTTCCCCCTCCTCCCCTCTCTCTCTGTCATTCAAGCTTCAGGAGATGACAACTTGCTTTATGGAGGGATCAACACTTTTATAAGCACAAATAAGCGATTGAGAAGTTGGAGAGCTAAACTGGAGGAGTTCTAACATGCTCAGAGAACTTTGACATCTATTATTTTGTCTTATAATTTTGAATTTTGATATACCCATAGGATGAGTGTTGTAGAGATGAGAATGTTGAGATGGATGAGTAGTAAGACAAGAAAAGAAAGAATTTGGAATGAATATATTCGAGAGAATTTAAAGGTGATTCCAATAGGTGATAAGATGAGGGAAGGAAAGTAGACTTAAGAGGGTTGATCATAGGTAGTGTAGACCCAATACAGCACCGGTTCGGAGGTGTGATTTGATTCAAATGGAACTCTAAAAGGGTAAGAGGAAGACCCAAAAAGATATGGATGAAAGTAGTGAGAAAAGATATGGAGATTTATGTTCTTACTAAAGGTATGACCCTTGATAAAGCAGAATAGTATAATAGAATTCATGTAGCCAACCCCAAATAGTTGACATAAGACTCTAATGATGATGATCATTATTATCATTTTGTCTTCTGACAAATCAGAAATAATTGAGCTTAATTATTCCACTTAGAACATCAGCAAATATCTAATATATGTTTCCTCAATTTAACAATTCTTTAATCACTACACATTTGATAATTAGAAACGTTGGGTCAACACAACCCAAACTTAGACCAATGAAAATGGCTTTCCTTGTTTTTCTCTCTTCTTTTTTAAAACCTGAATCTCAAAATTAGTTTGAACTCAAAATTAGTTTGAACTTTGGAACCTTCTAAATACCGAGAAAAAGGATAATTCAATTACTAAAAACATAATTAAAATTTAGGAGCCATCAACATAGTCTCCCACTACTAGAATACGTAAACACAATAAAAGTAAAAAGACTACCAAAATGCAGGGAGAATATCCCTGCATCAGAGTCTCGATTCTTTCAAGTAACATTTGATGGGCTTCAATCTCCTTGATCTTATTCATCAACGGGCGCCGAGCAAGCCGTCCATCATTTTGAGCAGCTTCTCTCACCAAATCTTCCAACTCTATGGACAAGATTCATTACATAGCAAGCACGCACCATAGAAGTCATATTTCACATATTTATGAAAAAATAAAACCTAGTGAAATAGAAGATCAAAGAAAAGGGTTTACCCTGGCATGAAGTAGCAGTCATAACACGAGCGAAAGCACGCAGAGACAGTGGGATGCCCCTTCCCCATCCTCTCGCAGATTTTACTTCACTGCTTTAGATAATATCTTTCAGGAAGGGAAAAACAACATTTCTCAAGCAAGATCTCATGCAAAACAACAATAAAGCTAAAATCCCAAGGAGATCCATCCTCTTGGCAGTTAAAAAATACGATAATATGCCATATTGCTGGCATGGGCTCCTCAATGTACGTCTGGGTCTTACAAATATAGTTTTGATTAAAGATACTTCACAATACAACAGTAAAAACAAGAGAGGGGTATTTCCATTCCTAACTGCTGTGCCATGTTCCTTTGTGAAGAAGAGAGCAACCCTCACCTCTTTATTCATTGCAGCCTTGCTTTCAATCTGTGGAACCGACTCCTTCACCTCTTTGGCCTCTCCTAGGTTACACCTACTTCTCTTCTGGCACTCCTGAGTCTCTCCTTGGATTCTCATTGGCCAGAGGCAGGCAGGCTTCTTTGGAAAGCCTCCACGGCAGCAACCATCTGGGTAATATGGATTGAAAGAAATTCAAGGATTTCCCGAGGATCCTGGTGTGAAGCCTTGGATCGCAAACGATATACTTCATCTGTTTTCCTACCCTCATACCTGACCAAATGGGCTTGGTGAAAGAAAACATTGAAATACCCCTGAAATCACTCATTCTCTTGTGAACTTCCACTCTCCAGAGCATTTCGGACCGAAGTACTCTCTTAAGTTGTCTATAATTGTCATTCTACTTCTACAGATGTTGCAATATCTAGCTTGCATGGAAGCATAGCCAATAACCACCCGACAACTCACACTTAAGCATTCGTACAATTCTGAAAGAAATTAGCTCACACCTAAGTTCATTGAATGCATGTTTGTGATACCTCTGCCCACACCTAAGTTCATTAGACCACCACTTGTTTTTTTAATCGTTATTATTAAAACTGAGCCCAAAAGTGGCTTGGTTGAAGTCTGCTAGGCCCACCCTATAAGATGAAAGTGTCGGCTATCGATTTAAGACAACTTGAATAGTTTGCAGGCATACGAAGTGAGATGGATATGCACAATCAATAGAGATTGTGTTCCCTGCTGAGACAAATGAGGTTTTCGCTAAAGCACAATGCCAGTCTCAGTTATTTCTTCTATTTGTGAGGCTGCATGAGCATCTATTCTTCATTAGATTCCTACTCTATCTCTTGATGATGCCCTCTAATCTCCTTGGTGAAAAAACTTGTGTGTCGACAAAGCTATCCCACAGGATGTCAGCGATGTGGTTTGGCTATTCCTACTAGTCCTAAGCTCATGCAAGCGGAAAGAACACACCACTGTTTGTCGCAAAAACTGGGCCCTTTGGAATCCTCAAAATGCTGCTCGATGGATGTTGACAACACCCTAAGGCTGATAGAACGTTCCCAAACTCCATTCTCACGAATGTAACTAATCCGACAACCTTTGTTGCAGTTGACATTGTGGGCAAGAAAACTTCACTCCCAGATGACACCCTCTTTCTAAACCATGTACTTTTACATGCAGTGTTATCGAAAAATTTGTTTATAAAAATGATAATTGTAAGAGGTGCAAGTTGGCAAAACACACCGGTCTCCTTCTACCACAATAAGAAACCATCAAGCATTTCTCTTTACTTAACTTTGGTGTCAAGGGCCTTGTTTCTATTTTGTCAAACAGTCTACTACTACTATATCACATTCATTAATAAAATTTCAAAGAATCTATGGGTCTATTTTCTCAAACACGAATACGATGTGCTTAGATCTTCAAAAAGTATCAAACAATGATGAAACCATTTGAGAAAAGCATAAAACAAAATTTTTAGATCAGACTCACGAGGGATATGTTTCCAATAACTTCCAAGCCTATATTAGAGCAAATGATATTCTTCTTCTGTTTTCCTACCCTCACACCTGACCAAATAGCATTTTTGAACCGAAGCACTCTCTTATGTTGTCTATAATTGTCATTCTACTTCCTACAGATCTTGCGATATCTTTCTTGCATGGAAGCATAACCAACAACCGTCCAACAACACACATTTAAGTGGTCCTACAATTCTGGAAGAGATTCGCTCTCACCAACGTCTATTAAATACATGTTTGTGGTATCTCTACCCATAAAAAAGGGTGTCATTCCTTTTTATTCTTATTACAAAAAATGTTAGAATACTAGGCATATTTTGTTTTTTTAGCACATGATGCTTCCTAATGTTAGCTCAAACACTACTCCAACAACGCTTGCACCTGACTTCTCAATACCAAAGTCCAAAAGTGGCTAGGTCTAATCTATAAGATAAAAGCCTCAACCAAGCATCATCTGAGCTTATCACGGTCCAATATCACTGGGGTCCAAGCCAAGCTGTTAGCTACAGACCAAAAATCTTAAAACCAATTCCAATGTGGCCTAGACCCTGAGTCATTTTGAGCTTCATATGAGCTTAGTTACTATCCAATAATGGCCCAGTTCATAATCCAAGTTTCAAACTTTTTTTCTACAGACAACAATGTGATACATTTATTTCAAAGTTTCATACATTTCAACTTTTTTTTTCTTTTTTAATTTCTTAACATAAAGATTGAGATGTTCACATCCATTATATTTTAAACAATGAGATTTATTTGAAACAATATAAGAGAAAGAGAAGGATGACTAGATGGGTACTCGGCGGTGAAAAGAAAAGAAGGTACATAATTGAATAATAAGCTGCAAGAAATGAGTACCACAGAAAAATGAAATCTCATCGCATGGACTGAACAAGTGCTTACCCCTGGATGCCCAGTCAACTGCTGCACCTCAACACATTTCAAGAAGAACCAGCTAGCTCTGAGTTTGAGTGGCATTTCATCACTAATGCACTGATTCTTCAACATCAGTCAGTTTCGAAATCCATTTACCTGTCAGTTCAGACTTTAGACCACCACTTGGTTTTGCCTGAGCTTCATCCTGGTCATGGATCAATCATCCAGGTTTGGGTGGGCACGCACACTCCCCTAACCTTAAGAGGTTAGGCCAGGTCCGGTCTGGCCCAATATCACCACAATACAAGCCAGGCAGTGTAGAATATGGGTTTATATTACATTACAATGGAATAGGCCATACAAGGTTTGTATTATGATTTAAGGTTTATTTTCTCTAAACAAGGTTTTGATACATCTACTTATACAAAGTTTATATTATGAATTAAGGTTATTTTCGAGAATCAAGGTTTTGATACATCTAATTTAATTTCTTATCCTAAAGATTGTGAGATCCATCTTATTTGAAAATATTTAGATTTATTTAAAAATAAATAACTAACAAAGAGAAAGGGAAGGATGAGTTATTGATACTTGGTAGAAAAAAAAAGGGACTGCAATTGGTTAAAAAACTACAAGACTTCAGTACAAACGAAAAGAGAAATGGGAAGGGTCCTTGAAAAGTGATGTGTCATGACACTCATATTGATGTTACTCTCACAGACACCCACGCATTGATGTTACTCTCACAGACACCCACGCATGCATATGCTTACACCCATAAACTTGATAGGTGAGGCCAGGTTTGGCCTAGCCTTGCCCAATACAGCATAATAAGGGCCCAGTGGTGTTAGATATAGGTTTATATTCTACACCATAATGTAAGAGTCTATGTGCCTTTTCTTTTTGGGTTAAGAACATATCGTATTATGTACTTTGTAATAGAGATAAACTTGTCATTGACTTCAATATACAGCTTTATACAAACCCTTTCAAGTTTTCACAGGAAGTTATCAACACTTCATTCATATTCTCATGTTTACAGAAAGGGAAAGCAACCTAGACTAAGGCCCTGTCGAGTTCATTTATTGCACAGATCCTAAATCAAAGGCCGAGACTGACCAAACCAGACCAGTCACTAACTTTGTAAATTTGATGAAGGTATACAAGAGCTTCCCTAAATTTCCACGCAAACCTCACTGTTCATAAGCACCAGTTATATACAGGATCTGCTGCCTGGATGTTTGTGAAATAACTGGAGTGCCTAAACACCCTTCATATGTTAGACTCTGTTAACTATTTTCTTGTTAGTGCTTGCTTCATGCATAGATCTACTTGAACATCAACTCCTACATCACAATCCTCAATAGAATTCTGTTTTTATCACATGTAAAGGACCATGAGGAGGGAAAAATATAAACATAACATTCGGATTTTATGCTCATTGAATTTGAGTCCACACAGGCTTAATGACTAATAGAAGGGCAAAGTTCAGGAATAAATGATGGATACATAAGTCAATAAATCCACAATATATTATACAATAAAAAGGGAATAGCATCGTCTAGCTGCTGGTAAAGTAACAAAAGCAAGAAACCGCTTCCAGTCCTAAATGCTTCTATAGGATGAGTGAATTGGTCTAAACCACATATAATATCCACTTTAGATGTACAATTGGTCAAATACAAATCACATAAGCAAGAAAAATTCTCAATCAATACTCACCGAATTGTAAAATGATTCCCAACTGTCTCAATTCCATTTGCATCATCCATAGCTGCTATTTGGTGTTTATCCAAAAGCTCCAATTTCATTTCGTAAAACGGCTCAAACTGGGACATCCCAAACCAAATCTGAACCTGGTCGCAATTTTTCGTTATTTGGATTCTCTAGAAAATCTGAAACTAAAAAGGACACCTCAAGTAGGTTATTAATGCTTCATAAGATTCACAGGCAACTGTAATTTTGGAGCATCAGGCATAAAAGAACATGCATTCCTCAAATATGGGAACACGCAGAAAGCTTCAGTATGGATATAAATGCAGTCAACCAGCCAGGGGTATTTTCATACTTGGAAGGTATTATGCTGTAGCTATTTGTGACCCAAAGGCATCTTTGTCACACTCACACACACAAATATACATATATAGGGTGTGGTTTGTATAAGGCTGAGGCCCTAAACAATCAAAGTAAGGTGCACCTTCAAATAATGTAAAAAATATTGTTTTGGTACTAGAAATATTTGTAACGGCCTGAAAATTTATTTTCATCTCTAACTATAAAATTTAAAGCTTAAAAAATAGTGTAGATCGAGTAGATCTATGAACACTTGAAAATTAACAATCCAAGAAGTGCATTACAAGATGCACTATTTCTAAACTTGAAATTGGGCAATCATGTTTCATTGTTTGCAATTTGAGCAACTGCAGATATATCTGAAACTTCTTGTATTATCCACTGGAATGGAATTCCGGTTCTTCTAACCCATACAATACAGGTATTGTGGCACTTCTTGACCTATTCATGATAATTTCATGTGTCAAATTCATAATTTACAACTGTTTTTTGACATCACATTGACAGATTCACAACATCTCATTCAGACCAAATTTCTTTATTCTTCAAAGGATTTTCTTCATACAGCATTTAATGCTGACCTCTAATGCTAAAACATGGTTGAGGATGGTGACATGCTTTATTCGACTATAACCACACCGAATATATCTCGTGTTGAGTGGTAATTAATAGTACAAACACGAAAAACATTACATGAGGCTGCAGTTCATCAGATCATCAGACATGTTCAATCTATCTGGAGATGCACAGATCAAATGCAGAAGAAGATGCGAGAATGAAAGACCGGGGGAACACCAATATATTTTTCAGGATTATGGAAGGAACTGCTAGAAAACCAGGTTTAGGAGCAGTTCCTTCCATAAGCATCGAGGTTTCAGAGAGGAACCACCAGCTTAAGAACAAGATTCTTGCAAATGAGGTTCGTTCTACTCCTCGTTAAGGTTCCCATTTGTCCTCTTTATCAGATCTATATTTACCAGCTTTTGTTATCTAAAACGAGGTTGGTGGTCCTTGTCTCGACATGAGCAGATTGAGTACAAGTTATTTGATGGTCTTGGGAAACTCTTATTTCTTGATATCTCAACAGGTAATTAGTGTCAAAATTTACAGACAAAGCTGAGTCTTGGCAATAACTTCATGCAAAATGCTTCTCTCTGATCCTGGAGCTCAGGTTACTTCATCCAACCCTCCTTAAAGACTTTACTGGTGCTCTCAAGATTGAAAAGATCCAATTTTTAATGACAAGATAAAACACTTTGATATTCCATTCCATTCAAGAAAGGCAGGTTAATGATGTCATTTCTCTCTCACAAGTTCCTATAGAATATAAGGTTGCATATTTTTATTACAAAGTCAATTACCAAACACAAATTGAATGCTTTAGTGGGAAAGTTTTCACTTTTATCGGTTGATGCTCCAAGTTAAGGGAGGCACTGAGTGTTCAGTTCAGTGTGCAAGTCAAGTTTACTTTGGTATCAAAGTCTAGTATTTGCAATTTTGGATTGTATGTCTCTTACGTAGATTTGCATGGTTTAGGTATGCAATGTCTTTATATGATTTTTGTAAACGATTCATCTTTCTTTTTTCATGGCAATGAGAATATAAAGATCATATTTTCCAATAAGTCACTGGCCACAAACAGATATGAGCACTGAATAAACCAGTTGTCTGTTTTCCATTTTGAAGGAGAATATTGCCTGAATATATATATATACATATATATATATACATGTAATCAGGAATGTTTTCATCATTTTCATCCTTAAAGATGTACTGGTCTTTTGACCTTGTGTTTCTTTGTGTAACTATGCTATTCTCAATGGTGATGATCAATTCTCCCAGACTTGAGTCTATCTCTTTACCACTAGAGATTTCGAAACAATGACAAGAATCCCACAGCCCGATATACAGAATAGGAGATTTTTTTTCCCATCAGTATATATGCACTTTGACAGCTAACATAAGTGTGATAATGAACAATGAATTTCATTCAGCATGTAAAAAATAAAATTTTACACACACGAGCGTGCGTGCTGACACACCCACACACACACAGATGCAAATGAAATGCATTTCAATAGTCTAAGCACAGTCAGAAATAGCTCACTCAAGTAGCCTAGGTTACTTAATGTCAAACTAGGTTACAACAAAATGAGTTTATGATTTGCAGTGTTCTCTTGCTACTTTGCAGTAGATGACGAAAACAATTTGTTTTAGTGGAAGTAATGAGTAACTCAGGCATTAGATAACTTCTAATCTGTTTGAATTCCTCTTGCCAAAGCGACAATAATATGCAAATGTCTAACAGCTGAAACATCTGAATCTCACCTGGTCATGAGTGTTATATGGAAGTGTAAAACCATAGTCGAGTAAGAGCGAGGCATTTGAAAATTTTCCATAACTTATTAAAACCTGAAATAAAAACCTTTCGTCAGCAGCCTCCTACACTGACTGCTTGTTTTCATATCCATCTAAACCTGCCAAGGAAACAAATATATTGTAGACAGACTTGCATACTGGGTAACCAACATAATTTTGGTGGGTCAACTGTCAAGAATCTAACATGTGCTGCACCATTGTATTATCATTATTTCAAGTGTACCAGCACCTTGAAATATCACATTGCAAAGTCCACGAAACTTTGAAGAGTTAACATATGAGTTACTCTCTATTTATATGTCAAATCTGGTTCACTATAATCTATTGCTTTGCATGGATAAAGGGTCATGAAAAGATCCATTTATCTTTATTCTGATTATAGGAACAAAACCTTATCTAGGTAAAATTAAAAAGGAGGTTTGGGATCGATCCCTATCTATCTAAGATATTATTTACCACAATTTCATAAAGGGTTACCACAAGGCTGCAACCACTATAAGCAATATTCAGCCTTGATTTACGTCTGAGAGCACCATCTTCATTTACAGTCTTAATGCCAACACAATGGCAGAATAACTATTAGTTGATTCTATATCAAATGCCCACGAGAAGCCAAGCATAACATCATTTTTCTAATGATAGTTATATGTAGTTGCTGTGATTCTTTTACAAATATTGCTAGAGTTGAATTCCTGTGAAGTTTAGCAGAATCAGTATGGGATTTTATGAAGGTACATGATTTTATATGAAGTCATGCATGGTGATCAAAGTTAATACTGGAATAATATGAAAGTGAAGAAATGCAAGGAAAAGTTTTAGGAGGCACACTATTATAAGCAGGCTGTTCTTTCACTACCATATAGAAAATATAATAGGATTTATTTACATGAAATCACAGGATGTTTAGCATTTACAGACTGCCCCTATTGCATACAGACATATTAAAGAACCAAAGAAACCCATAAGTCATTGATGACGTAAAAATTAGCCAGAAAAGAAGATATGCTTTTTCTTGTTATGACTGTCTGTTTCTCTGGTTCCAACTTCCCAATATGTAATTGTAGGCACCATACTAGTCTCCCTACTAGTCTCTCTTTCACGAAAAGAAAATACAAAAATTGTACCTAAATAGCATAATCCTTCTATTGACCTCCACTTAGCCTAATATCTTTCAATTTATCTTCATAAAGTACAGGCTTTCGTTTTGGAAAATGAACCCCCACCTTACTTCAGAATCAACTGCAGATATCTTCAAAAAAGATTTCTCAAGCAAAGCGATCCAACGAAATCAACATTAATTAAAACTATTGATGAAAGAAAGCAACTAGGGGTTCCCTACCTCTTCACCAGCAGAATAGCCCCGATCGGCAATAACCTACAGAGAATAGCAATAATGATTACAAAGACATGAAAGATAAACTACTAGACTTTCTACTTGCCATGGTAACTTCAACTAAAAAGATAAGCTTCGTACATATGACGATTACTAGATAGAGAACTTTCTTTCTCAATTCTGGGATACACTAAACCAGTCCTTACAGGAATGCACATCATTCTGTCATCTAAAAGTTTCTGTAGACTTAAATTTTCCAGATTAGATCAGAAAGATAAGATGGAGGAATTGAAGCAGGTGCTACTCCATGCAATAGGAGAGTGCAGCCGAGAGCCTTGGTCATCATAACTAGAATGGCCTGTCCCTTAGAAACTTCCTTCTTGGTAGAAGCAGGAATGAAAGTGCCCAAAGGAGATAGAAAAGTAAACTTCGAACACTTTGCAAATCAAAAGGGAGCGGGAACATAACAACTGGAGAAGAATCCTACTTCTAATGGCGTATACATTCTTGCAAGAACAGCCAAAGGGACATAGACAATGAAGGTAAAAGTCCATGAATAACCATATAGAAAAAACTTGCATACAAACAGATTGTAATCATTCATCAATTTACACTCAGCAATAAGTCCATTAATATAATCCCAATGTGTGTAGATAAAACTAAATTCTGTAGGCTAGTAAGCTACTCATAGGAACTAAAAAGACCATGATGTGATGCATTTGATTCTTCATACCAATGATGAATGGCATCTATTCAACACAGTCATACACAACAACGTTGAAAAAAATCACTCTAGCCAAAATTCATTCTTCAAATGAAATGAAGGCTTTGACTACTCCTTTAAGGGAAATCTCACAAAATCCCTTTTTTTTCCCGTTTTTTTTGAGGGAGTAGTTCTCATAATCCCCTGTGACATGCAACTAAGGCTTTGTTATAGAATTTTCTTCGATGTGGTGCACTTGTTAGAATAGACTCTTAGATTACTAATAGCATGAACCAGTCCAGTTATTTATTCATTATATCAAAATTTCCCAACATCGAAATTTGCCAGAAGAAGCAGATTCTCTTTTATTTCAACTTTTTGCGGTAATAATTAGACTTGATTGTTTTCACCGCCAACACCAAAAAAAAAAAGATGATAGTACTCATTGAAAAGGAATAAGAGCATGATGGTTTTTCCTACAGTTTGAACTCCTGCAGTTATGTGCCAGACGAAAATTGATCAGCACAATTCACCATCATTCCACATTAATAAGACAAACTGGTACAATTCATCTGCAGATTTCCTTGTAACAATCATCATTACTACTTAACAGAATCCATAGTAAGAATACTAAAGGATATTAAAGATTACTCTTTTAAAATAAACAAGAAAGGTGCATTACTTTTTCCAGTGAAAATTGCAAAATGCTAATGGAATATCTTCCGTTTTCTCACTTTATTTATTTTCAAAAAATTAATTTGTTTGATCATTAAAGGAAAAGAAGAGTACATATTTGAAAACGAACCCAAGTTTTAAAAAAATGTCCATAACAGAATGGAACAGGCTGGTCAGCCTCCATTTTACATTGGTAATGCCTATTATAAAGAAAAATAGAGTGTTTTGCCAAGAAAGAAGAGGCAAAAACAGAAATAGACATAGCAGCCGATATTTACTCTATGGACCCTATTTTGTACACCCAAATGTTACTTTTGTATAAAATGTCATGGTTGGGGGTATTGGTGCAACAAAAGCCATTATTTCTGCCATTTTCTAAACGACGAGGAAAACACCAAGTCATTACTCATAAGATACATCACTATTCTCCAATATAATTATCAATATTTAGTCAATATAGATTTAATTTTAAGGAAGATGGAAGCGCTCATATAAATAGAATTCCCAAGCTTGAGTCATCCTGGTTATATTGACAATGAGTAATCTCGTTAATCATATTCCTTTGTCCAATACAATGTAGTAGTACCACCCAATACAGTGTATTTTCAGATGAGGGCAAATGCTGCTCAGACTGCAAACCAACAAAGAAATTTATGAATGATGGTTGTATATGTCCATTATAAGAAGCAAACTTGTTAATAATACAAAGCAACAACAATAGAAATTTTCTATCCATTGTTGAGAATTACAATATTTTGAAAATAACAATAAAAAGGTTATGTTGTTTTGAAAATATTAGCTGAAGACCCAAAAAAAATTTCCGATCAACAATAATGATCAAGTATAAACATTAGAAAGAGACGTAACAACAGCTTCTAAGACCACAGTCAGATAAGATCAACTTTGACAAGTGCACATCCAATGAGAAAAATGATTAAGCTGGAATGACGAATAAGCCATGTAATACAGAATAACTCTTCAAGGACTTACCAAGGATATGTCTTAAAGTCTTAACAATTAGATATATTGGTTTATGAACCAACAAACCTACCAATGAGCTTAACTAAGCAGAGGACTTGGAAACGTTAATGATAACAAACCTCTGATATTTCTTTATCCTCATTGCTGAGTAAGGTTCCCTCAGACCGTCCATCATGATTTAGAAAGTCCGCAAATGGTATCTACATAAGTTACAAAATTAATGAAGAAGCTACATTGGTACATCACTTGCAAAGCTCAAAACTTACATTTTAAAGCACAAACAACCCCAATAATGATCTAAACACTTCAGAGTCTGTCAATACCAGAGAAAGCTCTTTAGATGATGTTCCCCAAGCGCGTGATTCCACTGCATGATTATCAGAAAGAAATAATGCACGAGAAAATAAGTTCAACAATAAATTAATGTGAAGAAGAGAATAGTTTCCAGACCCATGATTGCTTACAGAAGAAAAAACCATGCATGATGCCCAAATATGTAACTAGGACCGGATTCATAGGCAGATCTATATTAATAGGCCTGTTAGGTTTTCATGCATTAGATAACCCAGCTATTCCTCAAACCCAAAAGCATTACATAGAAAATGCTAAGGAATAAAAATAATGCATGCGTCAAATCAAAGAGTTACATAATCTGTCAATAGAATTATATGCTCTAAGAAATATTGTTTTCAACGGACAACTATCAAATGAAATAATTGTTGACGTCAAAGTGATGAGCTGGTCATAAAATGTATAATAAGAAGCTTCTGTAATTACACTCAAATTGTCACCACAAAAAGCTGGACCGTGGGAGATGGAGGCTAGTGGTGACCCCAACAAATCAATCACAGATGAGTTGAATGGACATAGAGCACTATTAGCTCTTTGAACTTAATTTTCATACTGTATCACAATTTTGTATCTCAAAGAAAACAAGATCAAGCTCACAAAAGAAGAACAGAAATACAGAATCCTGTGTTTTGCTACCAATCATCTGAACCTCTAGCCTGATTAGCACTTGAATTTACAATAAGATACACTAGTGAATAGATGATGCACTAACATACTGATAATCTATACTTTTCTCCAAAAAAAACATACTGATAATCAATCATGTGATTTAGATGCAAAGGAAAAGAATTACAGAGCTAGTAAAATTTAACATAAAGCTTCCTACCTAAAGCATATGCATGCATAAATTTCTCGAAGGTCACATCTCTGCAGTAATGAGGGAGGTGTCCAAGAGCCTGAAATCATGATAAATTTATATTCCTTAACAAAAATAACAGGCCTACATCACATGAATGAACATGAGATTTGGAGTAGGAGCAATATGTATGCACCATTTCCATGAATTAGAGCATGGAAACACAGAGTTCCAGATTATGCACATAGAATTAAGAAAGACATAACTTTAAATAGTTGTGCATTATGTGTTACAGACAATGAAAAGAGGTGAGAGGAAAAGTATCAAAGAAGAGGAACGGAAAACATCAATAATAGTTAAAATGTCAGTAAAAACTGAATCTCATTGACTCTCCTATAGGAATAAAAATTCTAACATAAGATAGGAGGGGGGAGAGAGTTACAACAAATCGATTATCATATGATCAAGTCAATTATTTTTATATAAACAAAATTACCAACAACCATCTGTACCTAAATCAACTATTATTTCTTATTAAGAAATTTTTAAATGTAAAGTGATCTCCCATTCTTTCTTCAATAGTTGGCACTGATATACCCCAATTTACTTTTTTTAAAATAAAAAAAAATACAAGTAAAGATCTAGATAAGGTTTTGACATTTAGGTACTCGAGATAATCATATATTTTGTTCATATAAAATGATTCTTAGTCTAATATCGGCACTCCTACAAATTGAGTTATCATGTTGTTACTTTTAGGTGGATATCAATCCTAAAAACATGAATTAGAAAACTCCAGGATTTTAATTTTAGGGAAGCAGAAACAGATGACTTAGCATTTGCAAACACCACACCCATTAATTGTAACATTTAAATGAATTGATTAAAAAATTTAAATTATAGATGAGAAAGGAAATTTGGACAAATTATTCCAGGGAAACAAGAATTATGGGAATAAAGTACCACACTTGCCTACCCCAACTCATATTTAGTAATAAAACGTGGACTAATACCTTTTGTGTGATAGAGAAGCATAGGCTGCAAATAATTGCTTATATTCAAAATCAAATGCTAAGGTAAGAAATTCAAAAGATAATGATATCCAAAGAGTTTATATACAACAAGCATTGGAAAAATCAACACAAAATCAGAGAATGTCAATTAACCTTAGCATGCATCTAGACATGCATATGTTGAATAAAGAAGAATATGCTACAACAAAACCTAATAATGATTTTGGTGAACAATTTTCAAAACATGGAGTCTACTTTGAATTGGTCAAGCCTATTCGGAAAGTAGCATATAGTGGCTGGAATCAGGCGAGCTCATGACATATCATGATCATCGCTGGTTTGCCATTCGAGTCCGACCCAAATAAGGTGTTCTCTAAAGCAGCAGGATCAATAAAAGGTTGACAAAACGGCTTCCAACCATTTCCTTGGATAAGCTAAGAGGGAGCTGAATGTATAGCTAAAGAAGAGTGGAAGTTGGTTGACTCTTTTGAGGCAGCTCGTTTTGTAGCAACCAGTTCTCTGATTTAGAGTTTCCCTTTTCGAGTAACTCTATTTCCATATTCATCTCTGTTTGCCTGTGACAAGTGACCCCCTTTTTATGAATAGCACATAGCCTGATTTGATGGGGGTGTCAGACCATCTTACTAGGTTTGTCATCCCTCGCTTACCACACAATAAATGTAGGAGGGCAATTATATAACATACAGCCCTGTCCCATTGAAAAATTATCCTTCCATTATTTGCATCAGTTTTAATTTTTGTAATAAAGGACTGTCGTCCCATTCAATGACAATTTTAATTATTTTAACAAATCTCCTTCCTCTTTTATCACAAGGAAAAAGGGGAAATAAGAGGGGAGGCAGCAAGCTCCTCGTTTGAATTGATTGGCAGTATTCAATCTTGGGACAAGCTCCTTCCTAATGAAAAAGAAAAAGACTATTGGGACAAGCTCCTTCCTATGAAAAAGAAAAAGAATAAAAACATGAAAGTGAAGAAAAGGCAAATGGAAGAGGAAAGTAGCAAATTTATGAAGAAAATGGACAAAGAGAAAGATGATAACACAAACATAAAATCCAAAAACAAGATAAATGAATTTATCAAGTATGCTTTCTCTATTATTTTGTTTCTAATAACATTGTTAGTACATTGAGTTCCTTATCTTACTTTATGATGGACTGTTCTCTGTGAATTACACTTTTTCATGTCCCTTTTTATTGTTTGGTGCTCATTACTATTTTTAATATAATTCGATGTAGTGAACCTTACTTTATGTTGGAGCTTTTTTGTAAGTCAAGAAGGAAACTTGGACAAACAAGCAGTAGATTAAAGAAAGATGAGAAGTGCAGCAAAGGACGGCTAAGATATTCACTCTAATTGGAGGAAATGGCACGAATTAAACAGGTGCATTCATAAACTAAGTCAATTTCTTTGGAACTGACGATAGCACAGAACTAAAATCAAAGTGGGTGAAAGATATTAGGTCAGACACAAACACACACACATGCATGCACACATGTATAAGTAAAAGGATTTGGTCCACTAGATTGTTACAATGTTTTCCCTAGCTCAAAATCATCACTAGCAGTGTTCCTAAAAATGCCGGGTGGCACCTAGGTGGTCAGGGGGGTCCAGGCCGCCCTGGACGCTTAGAAACTAGGCGGCCCAGTAGAATAAAAAGTCGCTTTAAGGTCATATTTTGTGTAAAAAATTAAGAAATACATATTGAGACATATTTTAGTCCATAATACCATGCATTTCAAATTCCAAACTCAAACTGTTAAGTTTAAACTTCAAACCAGCGATTAGAGGATTAGACCATATCCATTGTCTATACCATAATCCAAACTCCATGCACTTCATAATCCATGCCATAATCCAAACTCCATAGTCCATACACAAAAAACCATCTAATAGACCTATTAAATCTCCAAACTAAATCTAATATCAATCGGTGATGGTTAGATTGATTTCTCATAACTTTGAGAAACCCTTTGACCCTATAGAAATCACAAAAATCGAGTTTTTTGACTCTAATGGAGTTTAGGTTTGAAATGAACCAAAACCCCACTTTTTACAATCTTAATTTTATCAAATAACCCAAAAATGCCCCTCAACAGCGGGCATTTTCGTCCCTAAGCGAGGCGCAGACCCTGAGCAGCTGCCCAGGGCTAGGCATTGGGCACCCTCCTGGTGCCCAGTCGCCTAGGTGGCCACCTAGGGGCAGGCCGCCTACTTTTACCGCCTAGGCCAGGGCAAGGCGCTCAGGTCCCCCAGGACTGCTGTCGGAAATCACCGCATTTTCTATTAAAAAAAAAGATTTCCTACTTTTTTTTTCAAATTTTTCACAATCTTGTTTGCAAATGATATATGGTGAACACTTTAGGAGGAGACCATATGTTTTTCTGCACATACACGCCCACACACAGCCACCCACCCACACACAGACTGACACAAGCACACACACTCACACAAACAAACACATACACATAGAGTCTCAAAGTGAATATATATATATATATATACACACATAGATATAGGAGCCTTCAAAACACTCTATAAGCATATCTTACCAATTTGAGAGCATAAATGAGATAAGGCTGTTAATTGGAGCCCAAAAGGCCACAAATGACAAGTGTACCCACTTTAAAACAAAAATTCACAAGATATTGAAGATTTGAGAAGCAAGGGTTTAGATAAACTTTCGGAACTTATTCCAGTGAGACATGGATGTCTGTCACTAGTTACTCAATTAGAGCTTTTAGAACCCAACAAGAAGATAATTAAGATATAGAAAGCCCACTAGCTAATTTAATAGATATGCAAGCCAAATTAAGAACAACTAAATCCAGATTCTAGAATGACTAACACGATGGTTAAGACAGTGATAACCTTTCCACCCCTTCTACAGACAAGAAACGAAAAGAAATATATATGCAAAGCAGCATATGAAATCCTTGCTATTTTAAGGAAGATTCTCTTACATAATATTGGAGATGAAACATTAAACGCATTAATGAGAGAACAAGATAAAGACAAGCTAATTGAAAAGGAAATAGAGGCTGCAATACTACCCAGAAGATAATATCAACCTGTTGCACAGCTATGAAATCCTTCTCTATGCAAGCCTTGTGATGGATAGTCTCTTGATATACTGGACTACACTGAACCATATCAAGTTCATCTTTACTCCAGAATACCTGAAAGGTTCTTGTGAGATCCTAGTAGACTGTAACTAATGTAAAAGGATAAATAGATGGTTCAGATGGGTGCTGCATTCTAACAAGTATTACAAACCGTTCTAATTTTAGAGGGCTAGTGGACAGGTTTAGAACAACATTTCATTTTAACAATCCAGTTGCAGTGCAAAACTAAAATTTACATAATAATTGCAGTGAAACAGAAAGCAATCTAGTGAACATAAGGAAAAGGATCTAGTATTTAAATAGTCAAGAATGAGGCAAAGGGGACAAAATTCCATTTTCCTTGGGTAGAAATGAAAAGTACAAAAATGAGAAAAGAAAATAACAAAATCCCCCATAGTTAGAGTTCTCAATCTACTATCATTTGATCTAGCAAATTTGGCATGCTAAAAAATAGTGCAAAGATAATATACATATATAAACATGCTTAGGAAGACATTAATTCTTCCTTTAGAGTTGCGTGGGCAGTCTGCACAACAAGAAGAAACTGGAACACTTTAAAGACTTGCACAAGGAGCTTGCTTCTGTCTGCATCACCTCTTCATTTTAGAATCAACTGAGAAACAGGCGAAACAGGACATGAGACACCATATAAACCTCGTTTCACTCTTCTCGCAGGAAATTGTGGCCAGCAAAGGATATTCTCATTTCTGAGGCCCTGGAGTTTTGGGGTAATCCCCTGTTGGCCATCTCAACATTGAATTAAGTATGCTTGTGATTAGTATTAAAGAATGGGGAAAATAACGTAGTATTATATGGCTCTACATGCTTGATTATTGTATATTTAATGATAGGATATAAAAAATACGAATCATTTTACTGATTAAACATATCATATGTTTTGCATATTTTTCCAACTCATGCACTCTGTATAATTTTCAATTTCCAAGACCATAAAGCCCCACTTGTCTACCTTGCATCCATAACTCACCTCCATAGGAACCAAGTTTTGCTGACCTATTTTAACCACCATAATAGGAAGCCATTTTAGTGCTAATATTTCCAAACTATCATTGTAATCATAGTATACGAAACCATCTTTCACTTGATCAAATCAACATGCCTACCGTGCTATGAAGCATACCCATTTGAGGGAGACAACTTATATATGGCTCCCATTCAGATGCCTGCACAAATGAAAAATGATGAAAATTTGTTCTACTATATTGATTTCCCCAAACATTTTTATACCGTTTCAAACTCCAATAATCAAAAGGTCCAAATGGTACAACTTTCTACAAACAAATTGCCAATGATCTTATCCACTTGATTACTCGTGAAGTAAGCAATCAATTTGGACGATACCTGGCCCAGATTTTCTTCAAACAAAATAAGCAAAGCAAGTCGAGCATGGCTGCTTGCAGCATCTCCCAAGAAACGCTGAATTTCTGGCAGGATGTTATCTGATCTTAATTGCTGCAATCCAGAATCATGAGAACAAAGAATTTAGGAGCTATATTCCAGTGCCAATATGAACCACAATCATGAAAACAAAGGATTTAGAGCAATATTTTGATTACAACAAATTGACAACCATAAGAGGTACAATTATAGAGCTGAACATACAACGCTGTAAGGAATCTTCAAGATGCAATCTCCAGAATGTATACACCTTGAAGCAAATAGTGACCTGCATAAAGAATTTGATACATGAAATGCTACAAAACAAGTTTCAAAAATGTTAAAGATAAACACATGGATGTCGTCACATGCACCCTTGAATTCAGACAGACATACATCAAAACAGACCCAAGCACGCAGACATGCATACACTCACGTTACATCTAACGTGTATATATATACATAATCCAACTCATAATCATGCATAATAGAAGGAATAATCCTTTCACCGCATATTCTAAATTAGCCAGTCAATGGAAAAATGTTATTGACACCCGAGTCTGCAAGACAACCGCCATGTCGACAGACCTTAAAAGGATATACTAAATATTGTCTTATTCTTTACATCATCTCTTCTTCAGTTGCATTTACCACCATCTTTTGTCCTAATCCAATACAACCGTCAAAGGCCTATTCATGACAAAACTTGGAAACTAACAGAGAATTTCATCTAGAAAAGGCATCCCTACAAAGAAATGTCTCGTTTAGGTTTACGTGTGTTCGATTTGAACAAGCATGGGCTAAGAAGATCCTCTAGCAAAACAGCTTCTCCTGAAAGAATGTTACATATTCTGACTAATTCCTGGCTAAAACTCATGCTCCCATGTCTTTCCCTATCGAGGATGCTTATTCAAAAGTTACACCTAGAAAATATTGGCAAGATGTAGTGCACCAGGATATTTACAGCACTAAAAGGAATACTAGGGACCTAGTTCAACTATCCCTTGGGAATAGGACTCTTGGAAGCAAGTGGATATATGTACAGCTGAACTTTTATTTGGTACTTCTTTGGAAATGAATATTGCAAGTGTCATTACAGAAGGCTAGAAGCAAGAATATGTCATTCATAACAAGAAACATATGCTCCAGTTGTGAAATGACTTGTCAACTCCTTGTATCATTGACAAACAAAGTCAACCCCCTTTGGAAACATTAGCATGTTTCCAAAGCAACCTCCGCCTTTGTAAATCTATAACACACTGGCAAAGCAACCTAAGTCAAAGCACTCTAGAGACGAGTAACCTCTGTCATAGGAGGGAGTATAAGCCAAATGAGCATCACCCCCCAAAAGCTTGGAATTAAGAGTCATATCAGATCGAAGTGAAGAATGCTTTTCTTCACATGTATATGGAATCATCTTCTAGATATAGTTCAGGCAATCCCACTTCATTATTTAGAATATGAAAAGTTTTAGATGGTTTAAATAGGCTCCATGAGCCTGATATCAGCAAGGTAATGGCAATCATTCCATGTTTGTTTACCACACACATAGAAGCAGTGCAGTGTTACTTGGTCATGTTGATGAATTACTTCTACAATGACGATAGACATGAATTATATCGCATTGAAAACTTTTCTCCAGTTATCATTTCAGAAGAAAAATTTGAAATATGTAAGATATTTTTGGGACTTGAAACAATGAAATGTCATAGAGGATATGTAATCAGTCAGCACAAAGGGGCTCGGAATTAGTTCAAAGCTACAAACAAGCCACAAGACCTCTCATTAATTATCACAACAGAGTTAATACCCATTGACATCAAAATTAAACTTTCTACTATCCGTGGAGATGACTTTTCTCTTTTAATAGGTAATGAATTGAGATAATTTCTTAGATCCAACTCATTACTAACATCTTGTGGGGAATTAGGTATCTTAAAAACAATAATGCCAGAAATAATTCGATTGTTATTATTAGTCTTGTGTTCTCTAACCATCATAGACTACATGTGTCAATAGCACACGGGTCATAAACTGTTAACTAGCAAAACTAGCAGCCAGTGCTTGTTAATGCGGAAAACCAAGTCACATTTATCATACATTTATAAATTAACCATCTCATATTTGTGGGTGCACAAGTCAACTAGAATACCCAGCTTCCAATGCCAACCTATCATCAAATCATATATGATAGTTGTTGATTCTCTTTTCTTGTATTGACGTCTTCTCTAGAGTACATGCAATGACAGTCAAGTCAGCAATGACAGTCAAGTCACAGTCTTGCTCCATGACCTTGAGATACCCTCATGAACATGCATCAAAGCAGCACAGCACATCCATCTATACATCAAAATACACATGGATTAACATAACAAGCTGAACTTGGGATTATTGCAATGATAATAGAAATCAAATGGTTGATTGGCCATTGTTTTTCACGCTAGATCATATGCACTTCCAACATTATGCATAATGAATGCAGACTAGTTGAATATTTATTTAGACAGGGTGTGTGTATGTGTGCATGTGTGTGTGTGTGTGTGTGAGAGAGAGAGAGAGAGGGAAAGAGAGACACTCGTGCAGAATTATCAAACAACTCATTTAGAGACATAGCTCAACTGAAATGGGAGGCTGAATAGACAGGCTATATAGAGAACAAATTTTGGAATCTAGACAACCATGGTAACAGACAAATGTTCTCCAAACACTTGAAATCATTGCTTTATAGAGAAGCATGGGTAAGCTGCGAAGCTAGTTAGTTGAGAGTTAACTATGCGTCTAGGAGATTCTGTTGTATGTCCATGTTTTCTAGAAACACCACGTGTCATCTCCTTGCTTCGATAAGGCTATTTTAAACTAATGTTTTTTGACTTGCCTTGGGCCTCAGACTTGGCCCTAGCCCAAAGCAAGTAACTCAGCCGAGTCCAAATGGACTCAACCGAGTAGTGTACATGGCCAAAAGGCCCTAAACTTTTTTTAAAATATTCAAAAAATTGTTTAAAAACAATATAAAAATTGTAAAACTAAAACAAAACTAAAGTCAATATAAAAAGTCTAAAATCTCCCTATCTATATATATATATATATATATATATTAACATGGATTTGGAAAGACTTGATCTATGGTTGGACCATTGGAGATATGTTAGAAAAATCCAAAAATATAGGAAAATACAATAATCAGACATATGACAAGAAAAACTCACAACTCATTGTAAAAAAATCAAATAACACAGCTCTTATACATTCATTTTTTATATATTTTTACGATTTTAAATTTTTTAAATAACTCGAGTTGGACAAGTAGTAGGCTCAGCAAGGAGCCAAGTCCAAGCTACGCCAAGTCCGAGTAACTCGGACTCCGCTGAGTTTCAAATCATTGTTTTAAACGACCAAAGTGCAATGCATTGTCATTCCTTCATAAGAAAAACATAAAAAGATCAAGAAATAGCATCGCCCGGCAATTGAATATTACCCAGCCATGCAGATGTTTCAACGAACATCACAAATTAAGTATCGAAAACCCTACAAAGAGCATATCAATGACCTAAGCAAATTGCGAAATTACAAGCTCCTCTAAGACCATCCACGAAACAGTTACCTCTCTATCTAGTATCTACCAATTTAAAGCTCACAAATTTAATACAATCTTGAACTCATACATGCATGAAAGAACAATTAGACAAACAAAGTGCAGAGAAAACTTGCACACATAAAGCTCACTCACAGATGACAACTAAAAAACTGTAACTTTAACGACAACCCAAGATTCTGGTCCATCAAATTATCTGAATTTCACTACACAAACATAGAATTCAATCACAAGCTGAAACCTTCCATGAGTTGAACTTCCTATAGAAAGCACCGAGGAAACTTCAATGCCTGCCTTCCTCTCCAACCATGGCAAGAATTCATCACATTCATTTGTTGAGCAAGGCAAAACCTATTCCAATTTAACAAGCATAATGATCTCAATAGAGCTTAAACATGTAAACATGACTTAACTTCAAGTTGAAGAATTAAGAAAATATATTCAGGCAAGTGGAGATATAGAATGAATGGATATAAATCCTCTTAGACTCAACGATAAGCCTGAAATGTGTTCGTATAGTTATAAATTGCCTAGTACCACAAGCCTCTAGAAAAATAAAAATAAAAATAAAAATATGGATCCAGACTAAGATGAAGCTCCATATTTTCTCCACAGATAAAGAGTATGAAACAACACGAGCTCACAAACCTTAGCAGAGTTCCCAAAACTAAACTGAACACTCAAAAGAACAGTGGCCCGTCTTGGCAAGAACGCAGCGCCAAACCTTGTCGAGGACAACATTTCTGCATTCCACTCAGCGATCCATGTCCATTCGTCCCTTTATGATCAAAACTCAGGCATTTGACTCCACGAAAATCTTGCAAACCTTCACCTGACCATTACAGAGAAAACTCGAGCTTGAGGTGCAAGAAATTAGGGTTTTTAATGGGAGTTCCAATGCGACATTTAGGGTTTTCAGGGGAGGCTTGGAGCTCCCCTGCAATGGGGGGAAGGAATGTCCGAACTACTGAAGCATGTCCTCTTAATTAGCAGAGGAGATGAGTTTGTAGTATGGACTATCAAGCTTAATGGCGCGGGAAGTCCTTTCGACGGTCCAGATTCGAGTACGTGATTACAAAGGGAAGCATACAATATAATCCATGCTCATTTACATGAGATCATCACCATCCCATTAATAGGTTGGACGGTGATGGAGGGTGTAGATCACACCATGAAGGTTGATTATTTTGTAGTCTAAGGGAATTCCTCAAAACACGTAACCATACTAGCCCTGTGAACTCATAATCCCTATCAAACCACGAAACATACCAAAAAAACCCGAATCATATCAGAATTTGTTAGTTTTGCCTAAGTTTATAAAGAACAACACATAAATACCTAAAAATGATAGATCATGTACTTATCTCATGTTTGAATCAGACTACACCAAACTGGACTTCTAAACGTCCAATGTAATCTAAATGTAAGGTTGTGTTTATGCTCCAATCCGCCAATCTCTAGATGAGATATGCTCAAATCTTAATAAACCTTAAGTTAAATTTGTGAAAGATAGAGAAAGTGGGGTCACCTAAATTATAGGTCCAATAATGATGCAAATCTATTCAGATTTGATCATTTTTTGGGTCAATTAGCAACGTCAGCTTCCAGATCTGTGTATTTTACATTAAAAACTTTATAAACCAATAGATAACAGAAAATACATAAAAATAAATAAATTAGATGGAAAATTTAATTAAAATTGAATAATGAAATGGAACTTACCTCCAAGGACCTAGAACTCGGAGTTTCGGGCTTGGATCAGACTGCTATTCTGATTTGCATCATCATCTCCTTTTAGATGCCTATGCTTATTGAAATTAATAAATTTAATGTATTTTACCTAGATCTAAAGTTCTTGATAAGGGGGAAAAAGCTGGGAAATATTTGATAGTGTCTACCGAAGCTTTTCTGATAGTTTAAGATGGTTTGCGTTAGTTTTTTAAAGTTATTGAAGGCTAGGGAATTTTCATAACAAAAAACTAAAAAAACCTAGAGAAATTCCTTAAAAATTAGAGAAAAAATCCACTTTAAATTAGAAGTTGTCACACCCCAAGAATTTACAATACTGTTATTCCTGAGATATGACAGACAAAACATATATACATCTATTGATATGACAAATTTACAGTGGCGAGGTCTTACAAAGTAAATAAAGAAAGCTAGCACAACAACAGTATCTTCCAAGGTTGATCTTGACTAGCACTCAAAATGAATCCGCAGTTATCCTGAAAAATGTTTACCATAGTTTGATGAGTTTGGCTACTCAGTAAATGATCATCATAATCCTAAAAATAATCATGATTGAAAGATATCAATATTTTCTAAAATGAGATCTATTAACAGAAATGCATCAACAGTTTCACTTTCAATAAATGCATAATTAAGTATAATCCGAATAATTAAAATGCATATAACACTTTAACGGTAGTGCATAATTCAAAGGATTTCACAAAATACCCTACTAGGTCACCTATATACCCCATCAGCGTCCTGATGGGTCCACTTAATCCCTATCGGCGTCCCAGATAGGTCCACTTAATCCCTGCAAGTCCACTTATACCTCACCGGCGTACCGGATGAGTCCACTTAATCCCTACCGACGTCCCAGATAGGTCCACTTATACCTCACCGGCGAACCGGATGAGTCCACTTGCATACTTAAATTATCTCAAAATCTCTTTAAACATTCGAAAGCGGCAAATATCATGTACTCAACATATCACTGAAATCACTAATATGAATTTCACTAAAACCATTAATAACAGTCACTTTCAATAACATTTCAACCAATCAAATATTTTGGGCTCAAATTTAGAAAGGTAGCAATTCGTAAAGACATTCTAGCATAATTGCCAATTTAATATGTATAAAAAAAAAACTCTTATAAAAATTCAAGAATACGGAATTATCACAATTTATGGGATATCAATCCACAAATAAACATTTCACAACAATACTATAATCAATTGCAAAAATGTCAATTTTTTTAAATAATAAGGCAATCATTTGCACATGAATTTTACAATGTCTAAATATTCAAAACAGTAGAAAGAAATATCACAATTTTACTAAAAGCAGAAATA